AAAAAAAAAACAAATTTTTATTTCTTAAGTTTTTTCTTGGGATCTGAACATGGAGGATTCTTCTGATTCATCACATGTTATTTTTACTCATACAAACACCTCTCATATCAACCCAAGCTCAAATCTCCATGTTATTCTACCCCAAGCCCAGATCATCACTACAAAAATTGTCTGAAAACAATTATCTCATATGGAAACAGCAGATCCTAGCTGCAGTGAAGGGATATGGGCTAGAAGGCTACCTCTTTGGCACACTCTCTGTTCCACCGAAGTTCATAAGGAAGGAAGGTGTAGAAGATCTAGTGCTAAATCCAGAATTTCTTGCATTTCAGAGGCAAGATCAACTCTTAGAATCATGGCTGTTGTCTTCTGTTTCAGAAACCCTGTCTTGTACTGCTTGTTGGAGTTGAATCTGTTCATGAGATGTGGAAGACACTTGAGATGAACTACTCAAGCCAGTCATTAGCAAGACAAATGCAATACAAGTTGCAGCTCTCAACAATGAAGAAAGGAAGCCTCACTATGAGGGAGTATGTGAACAAGATTAAGATGTGTTGTGATTCTCTTGCCTCTACCGGACAGAAAGTCAAGGAAACTGATCAGATTCTTCATATCCTTGCTGGTCTTGGCTCAGAATATGATTCAGTAGTGGTAATTGTTACTTCAAAACCTGACTCCTTTACTTTGAATGAAGTCTGTGCTTTATTTTTGAGTTTTGAGTCAAGACTAGAAGCTGCTGGAAGTGTTACTATAGAGGAAAATCATGTTTTGTCTGCAAATGTCACCTCTCAAACTACAAAGAAGGATGGTAACTATCCCTCTAACTCATTTGGGGGTAGAGGAAATCAAAATTTTAGAGGAGGCAGGACAGGCAGAGGTAGGGGTAGAGGAAGAAACAACTAAAGAAACCCATGTCAAATCTGCCATTACACAAATCACACAGCTGATAAGTGCTATTATGTTGGTGTTATATACTTAAGCTTTGCTTTAGTGGATATTACACTTGTTATT